AACCCACTGAAAACCACTTCATCCTCATCCTTCAGAAATAATATATAAATATACATATAATATAAATATGTAAAAATATCTAAAAGTCTAATGAGCCAAAGATTTCGCGACCCCCGTTGAAGACCTCTGCCTTAAACCAGGGAGCCCCCGCACCAAGATGGCGGCCGTATTAACGCATTTCAAGAGTCTGAACGCGAGATTCTAAATCTATGAGTCTTGATACAAAAAAAAAAAGATAAATGTGGAGTTAGAACATGGATCTATATTTGTTAAAGGAGTAAAACTTACCGATGGCGGCGGGCGGCTCGGAGCAACTGCGGCGGCGTTTTCCGGGTGGTGTCTGCCAAAAGAGCTCCGACGGACTTCACCCGGCTTATTTGGTTCCGGGTTGTAATGATATACAGGTCAGAAGAGGGTGCTGTCGCGCTTTCAATGTTTCTCATTCTAATAACGAATTACAGGTTGTTGTTCGCTCTCATTAAAGCAGTTGCTGACACGCACACGCTGTAGCAAATCGCATTTCATTACATGATGTCAGAAAAGCACCGAACCCCCTAAGGTTGGAAGGAGATATTGCTGATAACTGGAGAAAATGGAAACAAAAATTCGAACTTTACATGACCGCTACAGGCACCGAAGCAAAGTCTCAGAAAGTACAGAGAAGCACGTTACTGCACGTCATCGGGGACGAAGCTCTAGAAATATACAGTACCTTTGAATTAACGCAGCAGGAGGACAGATTTAAGCTCAAAATACTATTGGAGAAATTCGACGAACATTTTACCCCCCACAGGAATGTGACTTTTGAGAGACACCTGTTCAACACTCGTATACAGCCCCCCGGTGAGAACATAGACCAGTTTGTTACGGACTGGAGAACGAAGGCAAGGTCATGTGAGTTCGGATCATTATGTGACAGTTTAATAAAAGATCGAATTGTCGTGGGAATAAGGGATGACCAACTCAGAGCAAAGTTGTTGAGCACAGCAGACTTAGACTTACCCAAAGCTATCTCCATATGTCGTGCTGCAGAGGCCAGCCGCATGCAACTGGACAAATTACGAACACCACAAGCTGAGTGCACTGTCAGTGAAGTCAAAAAAGAGCGCGGGAAAAAATCTCAACTGCCATCTGTTACATCACGCAGGCAAAACACGATTCAGGACTGTAAATACTGTGGAAGAGACCACCAGAGGGGAAAATGTCCCGCATATGAAGAAAAATGCAAAAGCTGCGGAAAAATGAATCACTTTTCGAGCAAGTGCATGTCCAGCGCATTGTCATACTCAACAAAAAAGCCAGTACACATGGTAGACGAACAGCCCGATTCAGATGCGGAAGAAATGTTCATAGACATGGTGAAATCAAACAATGATGATGACTGGGAAGTGGACCTCATAATAAATGACAGGACAGTAAGATTCAAAATAGACATGGTGGCTCAATGCAGTGTCATACCAGAATCGATCCACAGACAGACCGGGGCACAACTTGTGAAATCTAAAGCAAAGCTAGTGACTTATGGAGAAAAATGTTTAAAGCCAGTAGGAAAATGCCAGCTGTTGACAGAATACAAGGGACGACTCCATCATGTCGAATTCCAAATTCTAAATCAGACTGCAACACCACTACTAGGGTTAACAACCTGTGTACGCCTTGGCCTCATAAAACGGATTAGTGAGGTAAAAACACACCCAAGTCAGGATATACAGGAGAAGTATGCGGACATATTTGATGGACTGGGCTGCTTTGAAGGAGAACAGCACATCAAGATCAGAGCAGACGCACAGCCGATCATCCACGCTCCGAGGAAGGTCCCCGTTGCATTGAGAGACAAAATAAAGGCAGAACTGAGAAGGATGGAACACCTGGACGTCATTGAGAAGGTAACAAAGCAGTGGGTAAGCAGCATGGTCACAGTATGGAAACCAGAAAAACAGAAAATCCGGATATACATGGACCCCAAAGACCTAAATGCCGCTATCGAAAGGGAACATTACCCTATGAGGACGATCGAAGAGGTGATGGCTCAGATGCCAGGAGCTGGATGCTCAATGTGGATACTGGCAGGTCAAGCAAAGAAAGCTCAGCGCTGTGCACCTTCAACACCCCTTTCGGTCGCTACACATACAAAAGGCTACCATTCGGAATAAATACAGCTGGGGAAATATTTCAAAGACTCATGACTGAAATGTTTGAGGACATGGAGGGAGTAGAGGTAATTGTTGATGACATCCTCGTATGGGTGGCAAACGAAGAACAACACAACCAGAGGCTGAAACGGGTATTAGAACGAGTGAGAGAAAAGAACATCAAACTCAACCCAGAAAAATGCACATTCTCAGTACAAGAAGTGAAATACATGGGGCACATCTTGACAGCAGAAGGACTTAAGCTAGACCCCAAGAAAGTGGAGGCAGTCAAGAAAATGCAAAAACCCACAAACAAGACTGAATTACAGATATCTAGGGATGATAACATACCTAGGAAAATTCATACCACATCTATCCACTGCAACTGCCCCACTCAGAACGCTGTTAGAAAAGACGACAGAATGGAGCTGGATGGAGGAACAAGACAGGAGCTTCGAGAAGCTGCAGGAGATGGTCACAGAAGCTCCAATACTAAAATACTATGACGCATCAAAGCCAATCAAACTAAGCGTGGATGCCTCTAGTTGTGGAATAGGAGCTGTACTTTTTCAAGATGAATGCCCCGTAGCTTACGCATCAAAGGCCTTCACCAACACACAAAATAGATACGCTCAAATAGAAAAGGAGCTGGCCGCCATAGTGTTTGGATGTGAAAAGTTCTACCAGTATTTGTTCGGAAGCGCATTCGAAATTGAAACGGATCACAAGCCATTGGAAGCCATAATGAAAAAACCATTGGCCGAGGCCCCGCTAAGACTTCAGAAAATGCTACTCAGGCTCCAGAAATACAACATGACCATGAAATACAATAAAAGGAAAGGAACTATACGTGGCTGATGCCCTGAGCAGGAACTTTCGAAAAGAGACAGACGAAAGTGAAAATAACGATGATGTACAAGTGTGTGCAGTAATTTGCTTACCCATAGCACCCGATAGACTCCAGGAAATACGCACTGAAATGGAGACGGATTCAACCCTCACAGTAGTAAAAAAGTTCATCCTCCAAGGCTGGACAGACAAAAAAATCAGATACACCAGACGAGGCCAAAGTGTACTGAGACTACAAGAGTGAGATGACAGTAGAAGATGGACTAATATTCAGAGGCAACAAACTAGTGATACCAAACACCATGAGAAGAATGATGCTAAAGAAAGTACACTCCAGCCACCAAGGAATTGAGAAAACAAAGAGGCTAGCAAGAGATATCATATTCTGCCCAGGGATGCAAGCACAGATAACTGACACAGTCTCAAAATGTGGCATATGTAACACATACAGAAAGCAGAACAGAAAGGAACCCATGATTGGACATGACATACCGGAGAGGCCATGGCAAAAAGTAACCACCGATATATTTGAACTCAATGGAGAACACTACCTCGTCCTGGTTGACTACTATTCGAACTTCATTGAGCTAAACAAACTAAACACCACAACAAGCCAAGCAGTCATCAACATCTGCAAACGGCAGTTCTCCCGACACGGCATACCTGATGAACTGTGCTCTGACAACGGCACACAGTATTCCTCCGCCGAATTCAAGACGTTCAGCAAGGAGTGTGGATTCAAACATTACACATCATCTCCCACATACCCCCAATCCAATGGGAAGGCCAAAAAGGCAGTGCAGATAGCAAAAAACCTTCTAAAGAAAGCCAAAGCTGACCAACAAGACCCGAACCTCGCCCTCCTGGACTACCGAAATACGCCCCTGGACGGATTACCCTCACCCGCACAGCTGCTTATGGGCCGCAGAACAAAGACAAGACTACCCACAGCAAAAAAAAAACAGCTTGATCCAAGAACAATAGAGGGGGTACGGGATAGAATGACGATCAACATCAAGCACGACACTGAGAAACACTGAGAGGATCGCGCATGCTGCCCTCCCTCAGCCCAGGAGACACAGTGAGGTTAAGGGAAGGTAAGCAATGGAAACCAGCTAAAATAGTAGAACCAACACCTGAGCCACGGTCATACATAGTGGAAGCGGATGGACAGCAGTACAGGCGAAATAGAAGGGAACTCATCAAAACTGAGGAAGAGCCCCCTGCATGTACAGAGGGGAAAGGAGAGAATGCAGAAGATACCCATACATATACCAAGGGGAAAAGCGAGAACATTGAGACAAAAGAAAGACAATACACATTCAGAAAACCTAAACCCATAGAAAGACTGAATTTATAACAGACAGAATGAACTTACCTGAAATGCACATACCTGAGAACTCACTTTAAATGTTTACTCTTAGTGTTATTGTTCTCTCACACGTTACCCAAAGAAAGACTGATTCAAATGTTGCTATATTGCATCTTAAAATGTTACTACTACTACCATAAGTCATTTAAATGTTGATTTTCTAAGTTAACCCCATACAGTAATGTTGTATATGCGGTATTTCAGTTAAATCAAATTAGAAAAGGGGAGATGTAATGATATACAGGTCACAAGAGGGTGCTGTTGCGCTTTCAATGTTTCTCATTCTAACAACGAATTACAGGTTGTTGTTCAATCTCATTAAAGCAGTTGCTAACACACACACACGCTGTAGCAAGTCGCATTTCATTACACGGGTGGGAACTTTGAAAAGTGGAAAGTGTGCGGGGACTTGGTTTATAAAAAATGTAGATTCTTATTTTGTGAGAAAAATAGCGGGGATTTGTATAAATGAATGTTCAAGTTTTTAGTGTGTATTATATGTGAATATCTATCCGAATGCAGGGAGGGGTATTCAACAAAAATTTAAGGAGGTTGCAGAAAATCTCAAGCGGAGGTCCAGGACCTCATAATGTCAGACTTACATTATGATTGTGATACAGAAGTAGCATCGTTTTATTATTGTCTGAATGTATGAACATCGGACTGTCAAATCAATGAAAATACAAGTGAAAAACATTTCCACAAAATGTATTTTTAACACTGAAACACACAGTAGGTCTACATTATATACAGGGCTGCAGTTTAAAATGAATTAGAGAAAATAAATAAAATGGCTGAATTGTGCATCTTAAAACAAAGGGCTTCATTTCAGAAAAAAACAGCAGCAGCTTGAGTTTCCCTTTATCCTTACCTGTCACATCTCGACTTAAAAGTCTAAATTTTTCAACAGATCTCAAAACCTCCTTCCTCTGTAAAAAATATACTAGGGGGGTGCTGTCTGTATTGACCTGCTGCAGGGTAAAGAATCAGCACAAAAGAACCTGTTAGATGTCTTACAAAAAGTTTAACAAGCCACGGTAACATACTTTAAATTGTAAAATTATTAAACCATCGTACAGCATGTGTAGTTAAAATAAATACTACCGGAGCGCCCCCCACAGGACACCACGAGGAACACGGTTGAACACCTTCTCTAGATCCACAAACGTGGACTGGTTGGACAAACTTCCATGAACCATCGAGCACCCGATGGAGAGTGAAGAGCTGGTCCAGTGTTCCACGACCAGGACAAAAACAACACTGCTCCTCCTGGATCTGAGGTTCGACTATTGGCCAGATTCTCCTCTCCAGTCCCCTGGAATAGACCTGACCGGGGAGGCTGAGGAGTGTGATTCCCGTGTAGTTGGAACACACCCTCCAGTCCCTCTTCTTAAACAGTGATGAATAAGATGGACAAACTTCTGTTAAAAGGGTATCCTCAGGTTTGACTACTCTAAATTTAAGACTTTAAGACCATTTTAAAACCATTCAAATGAAAATTAAGACCAATATTGCACCCATTATGCCGGCGAAAAACTCCAGATCCAATTCTAATAATGACCAACCAAATACTATATCTAGAATCTAAAAGCCATTGTGGATTAAACCTGCACTTCCCCATGACCCATCTAATGTCTTCCTCCACTCTACTGATTGTTTACTCATAGACACCGGCGCCAGAAAACAAAGTATTGTTTGCACATACTCCAAATTAGACATTCATTCACGTTGCCTGATTTCACATTATTGTTTTTTTCCTCCCTCCACTGAACAGCATGGGTGAGTATAAAAAAAAAATCTAATGAAATTTAAGTCCTTTGTGAAAAAAAAAAAGACTTGAAAAACATAATTTTAATTTAGGAACATGAAATTGAAGACCTTTTTAAGACTTTTAAGACCTCACGGCTGTGCTACTTTCGAATAAAAACAATTAAAATCTTGACATATCATTTTAAGCTTTTAATTTTTTATACTACACTGTGCTCAGCTCCACAGTCTGAAGTCTCTGAAGCCCGATTTCCAACTTTTTGAGTATGAATTTAAGCTCAATTGATCCAGCCTCAGCAGCACTTTCTCCTTTAGTGTGTTCAAGAGGGTGCAGCTTCAGATGAGCAGGTTTTCTCAAAGTCCTTCCACACTGGTCACAGCTGCAAATTTTCTCTTCAGTCTGGAAGATTTAGACATGTTCCTCACAGAACTGAAAGCCATCCCCTTTTTCTTCAATCGTCTGGTTCGTCTCCTGTGTGCGTTTTGTAGTGACTGGAGAGTTGCTGGGATGTTTTAAAAGCCTTTTCACACTGGTCACACTCATATACTATGACCCAGGAGTGAGTTCTCATGTGTGCTTTGAGACTGGATGATGCAGAGAACCTTTTCCCACACTGGTCACACTTGTATGGCCTCTCTCCAGTGTGAGTTCTCATATGTGACACAAGTTGGCCTGAAAGTGAAAATGCCTTCCCACAGACATCACATTTGTATGGTTTTTCCCCTGTGTGGATTGGCATATGTCGAATAAGAGCAGAAGATTGCATAAATGCCTTCCCGCACTGGTCACACTTGTATGGCCTCTCCCCAGTGTGGATTCTCATATGTGATATGAGGTGGCTTGAATCTGAAAATCTCTTTTCACAAACATCACATCTGTACGGTTTTTCCCCAGTGTGGATTCTCATATGTTTATGGAGATCACTAGATTGTATAAATGCCTTCCCACACTGGTCACATTCAAAAGGTTTCTCTCCAGTGTGAGTTCTCATATGTGATACAAGGTGGGTTGACTGTGAAAATGTCTTTTCACAAATATCACATTTGTATGGTTTTTCCCCACTGTGAATTCTCATATGTTGACTGAGATTACCAGCTAGTGCAAACGCCTTTCCACACTGGTCACATTCAAATGGTTTCTCTCCTGTGTGAGTTCTCATATGTGCTTTAAAGTTGCTTGACAGTGAAAATGTCTTTTCACAAACATCACATCTGTACGTTTTTTCCCCTGTGTGGGTTCTCAAATGTTGACTGAGATTACCAGCTAGTGCAAACGCCTTTCCACACTGGTCACATTCAAATGGTTTCTCTCCTGTGTGAGTTCTCATATGTGCTTTAAAGTTGCTTGACAGTGAAAATGTCTTTTCACAAACATCACATCTGTACGTTTTTTCCCCTGTGTGGGTTCTCATATGTTGACTGAGATTACTAGATTTTGAAAATGCCTTTCCACACTGGTCACATTCAAATGGTTTCTCACCTGTGTGAGTTCTCATATGTTGTTTGAGGTTACTGGTCTGTGTAAATTCCATCCCACACTGGTCACACTCGTATGGCCTCTCTCCAGTGTGAGTTCTCATGTGTGACACAAGTTGGCCTGAAAGTGAAAATGCCTTTTCACAAACATCACATTTGTATGGTTTTTCCCCTGTGTGGATTGGCATATGTCGAACAAGAGCAGAAGATTGCATAAATGCCTTCCCGCACTGGTCACACTTGTATGGCTTCTCCCCAGTGTGGATTCTCATATGTGATATGAGGTGGCTTGAATCTGAAAATCTCTTTTCACAAACATCACATCTGTATGGTTTTTCCCCAGTGTGGATTCTCATATGTTTAAGGAGATCACTAGATTGTATAAATGCCTTCCCACACTGGTCACATTCAAAAGGTTTCTCTCCAGTATGAGTTCTCATATGTGATACAAGGTGGGTTGACTGTGAAAATGTCTTTTCACAAACATCACATTTGTATGGTTTTTCCCCACTGTGAATTCTCATATGTTGACTGAGATTACTAGCGAGTGAAAACTCCTTTCCACACTGGTCACATTCAAATGGTTTCTCTCCTGTGTGAGTTCTCATATGTTGTTTGAGGTAACTGGTCTGTGTAAATTCCATCCCACACTGGTCACACCTGTATGGTCTTTCTCCCGTGTGGATTCTATAGTGTCTTTTCAGTCTGAAAGCAGTTGGCCACACCTTTCCACACTGGTCACATGTGAACCCCATTCTGTCGGTGGATCTTGTCTCTGCATTAGAACAAAGAAAAAAAAGTGTCAAGTAAAATTACTTTTTTAACTGTTCACACTAAATACACATAAAATCACACATAGTAAATCATATGTAAGAATGTTTCAATGTGTGTTTTACAAGCAGGTTACAATTGACTGAAAGCATCAACTAAGTTTGTACTTTATTTTAAAGTCACACTTTTTCTTTCTGTAGCAATAGAAAATCAAATTAAGGAAACATACACAAAGATATTTAACAACTTTGTTTCTCTGAATTCTAATCCACATGTTCAGTGGAAATGACAAATGTAACAAACGTGACGACAGAAGCCAGGGCTTTGGTTTAACAGTGCAACTTTAATTCTGTAAGGACAGAAAAACAGCTCTGCTGAGTCATCGGGACTGACCGTTCCACATGCACAGCATTAAATTCTATTCCACCATCTATTTACAGGTCTATGTACAAACACCATTTCAGTCCTCAGGTGATGAGCAAAAGGGGCTGTTTAAGTTCAGTTGTGTGGAGAGATCTGATTATCCAACAGCCATGATTTAAGTTGATCAGAAAAGGAGGTGAGTAACAGCTCACGTATAGTCACTGGGATGGTGTTCCCAGATTCACCTGGGCGTAGCGCAGAGGGCTTAAGTCTACCTGGTGCCCTAGAGCTAATATGGACTCATGTAACTTTCAGATTTAAGTGGCAAGTGGGATTAGGAATAGTTTTACAACCAGCTCGTACATTCGGCTCCAGGACCTTGTATCGCGGACCTGACTGGACCGGGACTTGGACCATGGTTTCATCTCTTCATGTTGGCCACTAATGCACTTTTGGAGTCAGAACAGCAGATAGAGGACACACTCTGCTCCCCTGGAGAAGGTAAGAGGCTTGTTTTTATCAGTTTTGGGCAAATGTGAAGACAGAGCCTCACAAAAGAAAGTAAACATAACGTATTACGTAAATATATTAATACGTAAATGAGCTCGCGGGTGCGATGGAGCCGCTCCTATGTTCTGCCGTGTGTGCAGACAGAACCCACTGAAAACCACTTCATCCTCATCCTTCAGAAATAATATATAAATATACATATAATATAAATATGTAAAAATATCTAAAAGTTTAATGAGCCAAAGATTTCGCGACCCCCCGTTGAAGACCTCTGCCTTAAACCAGGGAGCCCCCGCACCAAGATGGCGGCTGTATTAACGCATTTCAAGATCCAAAACATCCAAAAATGGATAAATGTGGAGTTAGAACATGGATCTATATTTGTTAAAAGTGAAAACATAGATCCATGAGTAAAATTTACCGATGGCGGCGGGCGGCTCGGACCAACTGCGGCGGCGTCTTCGAGGTGGTGTCTGCCAAAATCGCTCCGACGGACTTCACCCGGCTTATTTTGGTTCCGGGTGGGAACTTTGAAAAGTGGAAAGTGTGCGGGGGCTTGGTTTATAAAATGTAGATTCTTATTTTCTGAGAAAAAATGTGATATTTTTATAATTGAATGTTCATGTTCTAATGTGTATTATATGTGAATATTTATCCTAATGCAGGGAGGGGTATTCAACAAAAATTTGAGGAGGTTGGAGAACATTTCCTCAAGTGGAGGTCCAGGACCTCATAATGACTTACATTATGATTGTGATACAGAAGTAGCATAGTTTTATTATTGTCTGAATGTATGAACATCGAATTGTCAAATCAAGGAAAATACAAGTGAAAAACATTTCAACAAAATGTATTTTTAACACTGAAACACACAGTAGGATTACATTATATACAGGGCTGCAGTTTAAAATGAATTCGAGAGAATAAATAAAATAGCTGAATTCTGCATCTTAAAACAAAAGGCTTAATTTCAGGAAAAAAAGAGCAGCAGCTTGATTTTCCCTTTTTCTTTACCTGTCACATCTCGACTTAATAGTCTCAATCAATTTTTCAACAGATATCTCAAAACCTTTCCTCTGTGAAAAATATACTAGGGGGTTGCTGTCTGTATTGACCTGCTGCAGGGAAAAGAATCAGCTCTAAAGAATCAGCCAGATGTCTGATTCTTTTTCCTGCAGCAGATGTCTTACAAAAAGTTTAATAAGCCATGGTAACATACTTTATATTGTAAAATTATTAAACTATCGTACAGCATGTGTAGTTAAAATACATTTTTGGAAAAATTAGACAAGCTGCTATTAGAGAGAAAACTACTTACCATTTCTGAATCACCGAACTGTATATGAACAGTACATGGGTTAAATGTAAAAGAATTCCCTCTTCTAATATTCAGAGTCATTCAGAGCAGCTTCAAACATGAACAAATGGTCTAAAAAAACAATTTATTTTCTAATTTTTGACACGACACAGAGCTCAGCTCCATAGTCTGGAGTCTTTGATGCCTGATCTGCAGCTTCTTGAGTCTGACTGGGCTGTCGCGATAACCGCAAAAATTAATCACCGTAGTACAAAGACAACCACAGCAGTGCATGTTGGATGACCGCCACCATCGCACTACATGGGTCCATTTTTGGAGACCCACACCCGCACAGTCCAGCACAGCACCTGCCCGTTAACAGGAGATTATATGCGCGGATTGCGGTTACAGCCGTGGTATCCGCGGCTAAACCACGGGTCGGGCAGATGACATGACGAAAAATAATACTTTAATAAAATTTGGGCGGGTGGCGGTTTAACTACTCAAAAAAAAACCAAAAAAAACAATTCTATATATATATATATAGAGAGCCTATATTGTTAAGTATTGCTACCTACATCTGAAAAAACGAGTGTCACTGTACAGTCTATGCTTGAAAAATGAAGTGTACGTCATATCCTCGATCCGTGCCTGAGTCGAAAAGATAAACAAAGATGACAGCACCAGCGAAGGTGGTATTTGTGGAACTTAAAAAGGGGGAACTAAAAACCAAAGAAAAGGGAGGTCGAAAAAGTGCTGCCTGGAATAAATTTTTTGAAGTGGTGAATCAGGATGACACCAGCGCAGCTTATGTCATCAGCAAAAAACTTTCGGAGGCCATCCAGAGAGCTATAAATGGTGGTATTGCTATACACTTAAAAAAAAAAACTGCGAAAACCTTCATGAGCAGATTACCAGTGTGTTAACGTCCTACGGAATACTGCCAGACAAAACAGTTTTTGTCAGTGATCAGGGGTCCAACATAAAGGCTGCGCTCTGATCCTACCACTGGATTCCTTGCTCGATGGCCTTGAAGATGTTGTGGATATGATGGATTACTGCAAAGAGCTTGTTGCCTACCTGAAGAGAACTGGTGCAATCACCAGCCTAAAGCACACTGTGAATCAAGAATGTGATGTAAGATGGAAAAGCAAAGTAACCGTGTCAGAATCGATACATAAACAATACCAGGATATAAGAGAGCTGCTGGTGAACAGGGACCAAGAACATTGCCTTGATGGGATTCACCAGGATCAACTAACTCACTTGATCGACTTTCTCACCGTTTTCAAGAGCAAGTTCGGCCTCCTAACAGCATTATGTTATATTATATTATATTTATTATATTATCTCATCGGTCTTTTGTATAGCTGATGGTGCACTATCGAAAAAATCAAGAATTGACTTCACGGAATGGGTGGAGGATACAAGAGGCACAGCTGTGGATGAAGTACAGGAGTATTCCTCTACAAACTTCCATGTAGATGATGGATCAGTAGAGGAAAATCTACGTTCCCTGTGGGAGAAACGAGGCCAGTCATTTCCATGACTACAGCACCTTGCCAAGAGAATGTTATGTATTCCAGCACAAGTGCTGCGAGCGAGCGCTCCTTCAGTGCAACATGGCGCATTACAGGCATATTTTTTTCTTGCCTATTTCATTTGGAACATAAAGTGGGCATTGCCTGATTTCAATAAATGTTTATCTGTTCATCTGGATGAGACGATCTGTCTATTTTGTTTCTATATCAGTTATATTTTGAAACACACAGACATTGTAGCATAGGCTACCACTCGGGGTATTTAAAACTTAAAGAAAGACCGATGGAGTGAGGCTATGACTTTGAAATAGCATCCGGCAAAGGCAGAATGTTCAGAATGCAGTAACATCTAACACGAAGGCAAGAAGGTTAAAAAGTATCCTAGTCAGAAAATGTGGTCAATTAATTAGCTGCCAAGACAACCAGGCAAGTTTCGAGTGGATTAAGAATGTGAAAATGCATGTTGAGCGAATTTTGGAATGAATGAGCTATAGAGTTTGCATTTTTATCGAGGCTCCTTAGTTTGTTTGCTATATGATTGTTCTAAAATCTAATATCACTCGGCGAATGGTAGGCGAGAGTGGTTTTGAAAATTGATCAAAACCTCGGGTGCAAATGGATAGCGGGCAGATGATGAGTGTTGTGTCGCAGTTACGGATGAAAAAATAGCCCATCCGCGCATCTCTACCGTCCGGACCTGTTAACATTCCACCTGTTACCTGCCCGTGCCAGTAATCAATCACACACAAAACAAAAGCATTCTTACTGAAGCATCCATCAGAAAAGGAATTGAAAAGTTACACTTTCTTCAGTGTGAATGCAAATTCACAGACACGACTCGACTGTCATTACTTCACAGGCTTTATTTACTGAGCAGAAGAAAAGGGAAGGGTTATGATATCACTGCATACCACGCTGTTGAGCCGCTCTGACGCACCGGAGAAATTCCCTAACCGCGACAACCCTAGTTCCAGATGGTTCCTCACAGACCTGAAAGCCTTCCCCTCTTTCTTCAGTCGTCTGGTTTGTCTCCTGTGTGTGTTCTGTAGTGACTGGTGAGTTGCTGGGATGTTTTAAAAACCTCTTCACACTGGTCACACTCATATACTATGTCCCAGGAGTGAGTTTTTAAGTGTCTACTGAGACTGCGTGATACATAGAACTTTTTCCCACACTGGTCACACGCGTATGGCCTCTCTCCAGTGTGGATTCTCTTATGTGTTACAAGGCTACCTGAATCTGAAAATGCCTTTTCACAAATATCACATCTGTATGGTTTTTCCCCTGTGTGGATTCTCATATGTTGAATGAGGTCACCAGAATGTGCAAATGCCATCCCACACTGGTCACATTCAAATGGTTTCTCTCCTGTGTGAGTTCTCATATGTTTATGGAGATGACCAGATTGTATAAATTCCTTCCCACACTGGTCACATTCAAATGGTTTCTCTCTTGTGTGGATTCTCATATGTCGATAGAGGCCATTGGATTGTCTAAATTCCTTCCCACACTGGTCACATTCAAATGGTTTCTCTCCTTTGTGGATTCTCATATGTCGATAAAGGCAACTGGACTGTCGAAATTTCTTCCCACACTGGTCACAGTTGTATGGCCTCTCTCCTGTGTGAGTTCTCATATGCTGATGGAGATGACAAGCGTGTCTAAATTTCGTCCCACAAACATCACAGCTGTATGGTCTTTCACCTGTGTGGGTTCTCATGTGTTGAAAGAGAACACTGGACTGCCTAAATTCCTTCCCTCCTGTATGAGTTGTCATATGCTGATGGAGATGACAAGCGTGTCTAAATTTTGTCCCACAAACATCACAGCTGTATGGTCTTCCACCTGTGTGGATTCTCATGTGATTTTGGAGATGACTAGAGCGTCTAAATTCTTTTCCACACTGGTCACACTTGTATGGTCTCTCTCCTGTATGAGTTCTCATATGGCGATGGAGATGATTAGAGTGTTTAAATTCTTTTCCACACTGGTCACAGCTGTATGGTCTTTCTCCTGTGTGGCTTCTGTAGTGCCTTTTCAGTTCTGAAGCATTTGGCCACACCTTTCCACACTGGTCACATGTGAACCCCATTCTGTCAGTGGATCTTGTCGCTCTGCATTAAAACAAAGGAAATGAAGTGTCAAGTAAAATTACTTTTTAAACTGTTCACACTAAATACACATAAAATCACACATAGTAAATCATATGTAAGAATGTTTCAATGTGTGTTTTACAAGCAATTTACATTTGGCTCAAAGCATCAACTAAGTTTGTATTTTAATTTAAAGTCACACTTTTTCTGTCTGTAGCAAAAGAAAATCAAATTAAAGAAATAGATACTGTACAACCCAGTGCTAGGGACAAAGGAAAGTAACACAAACCAGATATGATGCAAAGTAAATGGCTTTTATAAAGTGAAGGTAAGTAAGAACAATAACATAAAAAGGTGTTTTAGATTCGTTCAATCAAAAATTCCAAAATTAACTAAACAACTCCTCAAATGGGATAAAGAAAAATCAAACAAAAAACAACTGCCCAAGGGTCGAGACAAACTGGCAATAATAACAACAAATAGGTCGGTAATGACCCCTATACAACAAACATACTTTACAATAACAAAGGGAGGCAACTAGCGATCGTCTGTCAGTGAGAACGGCGAACTGAAACTGCCATCCAGTCGCCAGAAGGGACTGACGTACAGCACTTTTATTGGTCGAGGCGACGGATCTGTAGAAAGGGGACTGGAGGAACGGGACGTCAATCCTCCAAACACGGCACAACGAACATCGACGTCAGCCTGACAGCATTGGAACCACGCCCCACCAGTCAGGTGTCAGGTACCACACAGGACATGCAAATATGAAAGGTACTAGCGGTAAAACAAACGGGGAGCGCCAGGTGATGAGGAGACGGAGCCAGGCCGCGAGCCGTAACACGTACACAGAGATATTTTACAACTTTGTTGCTCTGAATTCTAATCCACGTGTTCAGTGGAAAGGATAAATGTAACACACGTGACAACAGAAGCCAGGGCTTTGGTGTAACAGTGCAACTTTAATTCTGTAAGGACAGAAAAACAGCTCTGCTGAGTCATCGGGACAGACCGTTCCACATGCACAGCATTAAATTCTGTTCCACCATCTATTTACAGGTCTATGTACAAACACCATTTCAATCCTCAGGTGATGAGCAAAAGGGGCTGTTTAAGTTCAGTTGTGTGGAGAGATCTGATTATCCAACAGCCATGATTTAAGTTGATCAGAGAAGGAGGTGAGTAACAGCTCACGTATAGTCACTGGGATGGTGTTCCCAGATTCACCTGGGCGTAGCGCAGAGGGCTTAAGTCTACCTGGTGCCCTAGAGCTAATATGGACTCATGTAACTTTCAGATTTAAGTGGCAAGTGGGATTAGGAGTAGTTTTACAACCAGCTCGTGCATTCCGCTCCAGGACCTTGTATCGCGGACCTGACTGGACCGGGACTTGGACCATGGTTTCATCTCTTCATGTTGGACACTAATGCACTTTTGGAGTCAGAACAGCAGATAGAGGACACACTCTGCTCTTCTGGAGAAGGTAAAAAGCTTATTTTCATCAGTTTTGGGCAAATGTGAGGACAGAGCCACACAAAAAAACGTAAACATAACGTATTACGTAAATATATTAATACGTAAATGAGCTCGTGGGTGCGATGGAGCCGCTCCGGTGTTCTGCCGTGTGTGCAGACAGAACCCACTGAAAACCACTTCATCCTCATCCTTCAGAAATAATATATAAATATACATATAATATAAATATGTAAAAATATCTAAAAGTCTAATGAGCCAAAGATTTCGCGACCCCCCGTTGAAGACCTCTGCCTTAAACCAGGGAGCCCCCGCACCAAGATGGCGGCTGTATTAACGCATTTCAAGATCCAAAACATCCAAAAATGGATAAATGTGGAGTTAGAACATAGATCTATATTTGTTAAAAGTGTAAAACATAGATCCATGAGTAAAACTTACCGATGGCGGCGGGCGGCTCGGACCAACTGCGGCGGCGTCTTCCGGGTGGTGTCTGCCAAAAGCGCTCCGACGGACTTCACTCGGCTTATTTTGGTTCCGGGTGAGAACTTTGAAAAGTGGGTTAGTGTGCGGGGGTTTTGTTTATAAAAATGTCGATTCTTATTTTCTTATAAAAATAGCGGAGATTTGTGTAATTGAATGTTCATGTTTTTAGTGTGTATTATATGTGAATATTTATCCTAATGCAGGGAGGGGTATTCAACTAAAATTTGAGGAGGTTGCAGAAAATCTCAAGTGGAGGTCCAGGACCTCATAATGTCAGAAGTAGCATAGTTTTATTATTGGCTGAAAGTATGAACATCGGACTGTCAAATTAATGAAAATACAAGTGAAAAACATTTCAACAAAAATTTATTTTTAACACTGAAACACACAGTAGGTCTACATTATATACAGAGCTGCAGTTTAAAATGAATTAGAGAAAATAAATAAAATGGCTGAATTGTGCATCTTAAAACAAAGGGTTTTATTTCAGAAAAAAAACTGCAGCAGCTTGAGTTTTCCTTTTTCTTTACCTGTCACATCTCAACTTAAAAGTCTCAATCAATTTTTATCAGATATCTCAAAAGCTCTTCCCTTTGTGAAAAATATACTTCTTCAACAGAGGGACCACCCCTGAGCTGAAGTTTGTCCATCTTATTCTTCATTATAAACAGTGAAGAATAAGATGGACAAACTTCTCCTAAAACCTCCTTCCAGGGTATCCTCAGGTTTGACTACTCTAAATTTTAGACTTTTTTAAGACCATTTTAAGACCATTCAAATGAAAATTAAGACCAATATTGCACCCATTATATGCAGGTGAAAAACTCCAGATCCAATTTTTATAATGACCAACCAACTACTATATCTAGAATCTAAAAGCCACTGTGGATTAAACCTGCACTTCCCCATGATCCATCCAACGTCTTCCTCCACTCTACTGATTGTTTACTCATTGCCACCGGCGCTAGAAACCAAATTATTGTTTGCGCATGCTCCAAATTAGACATTCATTCACGTTACATGATTTCACATTGTTGTTTTTTTTCCTGCTTCCACTGAACAGCCCGGGTGAGTATAAAAAAAACAATTTAATGAAATTTAAGACCTTTGACTTGGAAAACATAATTTCAGACTTTTTAAAAACCCTTGTACTATCCTCAAAGGGATACAGAGGGGTACATTTTACCCCTATAAGGTTAAAATAGTTTCCAAATAAATAAAGAGCATCAACACAAGGGACAGGAAGAACAGAGTAAGGCCACATCACAGAGCTGTCATGTGACTGGGTCAAATGGACCCATATATCTATGGGCCCTGAGGATAACACAAGGGTTAAGGCCTTAATTTAGGAACACGAAATTTAAGACCTTTTTAAGACTTTTAAGACCCCACGGCTGCCCTACTTTCTAATAAAAACAATTAAAATCTTGACATACCATTTTAAGCTTTTAAATTTTGACACTACACAGAGGTCAACTCCACAGTCTGGAGTCTCTGAAGCCTGATTTCCAACTCTTTGAGTCTGACTTTAAGCTCAATTGATCCAGCCTCAGCAGCTCTTTCTCCTTTAGTGTGTTCAAGAGGGTGCAGCTTCAGATGAGCAGGTTTGCTCAAAGTCCTTCCACACTGGTCACAGCTACAGCTTTTCTCTTCAATCTGGAAGATTTGGACATGCTCCTCACAGACCTGAAAGCCTTCCCCTCTTTCTTCAGTCGTCCGGTTCATCTCCTGTGTGCGTTCTGTAGTGACTGGACAGCTGCTGGGATGTTTTAAAAGCCTTTTCACACTGGTCACACTCATATACTATGACCCAGGAGTGAGTTCTTATGTGTGCTTTGAGATTGGATGATGTAGAGAACCTTTTCTCACACTGGTCACACTTGTATGGCCTCTCTCCAGTGTGAACTCTCATATGTGATATGAGGTGACTTGAATCTGAAAATCTCATTTCACAAACATCACATCTGTACGGTTTTTCCCCAGTGTGGGTTCTCATATGTTTACGGAAATTACCAGATTGTACAAATGTCTTCCCACACTGGTCACATTCAAATGGTTTCTCTCCTGTGTGAGTTCTCATATGTGATACAAGGGTACTTGACTGTGAAAATGTCTTTTCACAAACATCACATTCGTATGGTTTTTCCCCAGTGTGAATTCTCATATGTTGACGGAGAACACAGGGGCGTGTATATTCCTTCCCACACTGGTCACAGCTGTATGGTCTTTCTCCCGTGTGGATTCTGTAGTGCCTTTTCAGTACGGAAGCAGTTGGCCACACCTTTCCACACTGGTCACATGTGAACCCCATTCTGTTGGTGGATCTCGTCGCTCTGCACTCGCACAAAGGAAAGGAAGTGTCAAGTAAAATTACTTTTTTAACTGTTCACACTAAATACACATAAAATCACACATAGTAAATCATATGTAAGAATGTTTCAATGTGTGTATTACAAGCAAGTTACATTTGACTGAAAGCATCAACTAAGTTTGTATTTTATGTTAAAGTGACACTTTTTCTTTCTGTAGCAAAAGAAAATAAAATTAAGGAAACATACACATATTTAACTTTTTTGCTCTGAATTCTAATCCACATGTTCAGTGGAAATGACAAATGTAACAAACGTGACGACAGAAGCCAGGGCTTTGGTGTAACAGTGCAACTTTAATTCTGTAAGGACAGAAAAACAGCTCTGCTGAGTCATCGGGACTGACCGTTCCACATGCACAGCATTAAATTCTGTTCCACCATCTATTTACAGGTCTATGTACAAACACCATTTCAATCCTCAGGTAATGAGTAAAAGGGGCTGTTTAAGTTCAGTTGTGTGGAGAGATCTGATTATCCAACAGCCATGATTTAAGTTGATCAGAAAAGGAGGTGAGTAACAGCTCACGTATAGTCACTGGGATGGTGTTCCCAGATTCACTTGGGCGTAGCGCAGAGGGCTTAAGTCTACCTGGTGCCCTAGAGCTAATATGGACTCATGTTACTTTCAGATTTAAGTGGCAAATGGGATTAAGAGTAGTTTTACAACCAGCTCGTACATTCGGCTCCAGGACCTTGTATCGAGGACCTGACTGGACCGGGACTTGGACCATGGTTTCATCTCTTCATGTTGGACACTAATTCACTTTTGGAGTCAGAACAGCAGATAGAGGACACACTCTGCTCCTCTGGAGAAGGTAAGAGGCTTATTTTCATCAGTTTGGGGCAAATGTGAAGACAGAGCCTCACAAAAGAACGTAAACATAACGTATTACGTAAATACGTTAATACGTAAATGAGCTCGTGGGTGCGATGGAGCCGCTCCGGTGTTCTGCCGTGTGTGCAGACAGAATCCACTGAAAATCACTTCATCCTCATCCTTCAGAAATAATATATAAATATACATATAATATAAATATATAAAAATATCTAAAAGTCTAATGAGCCAAAGATTTCGCGACCCCCCGTTGAAGACCTCTGCCTTAAACCAGGGAGCCCCCGCACCAAGATGGCGGCTGTATTAACGCATTTCAAGAGGCTGAACGCGAGATTCTAAATCTATGAGTTTTGATACCAAAAATGGATAAATGTGGAGTTAGAACATAGATCTATATTTGTTAAAAGTGTAAAACATAGATCCATGAATAAAACTTACCGATGGCGGCGGGCGGCTCCTCTTCTTCTTCTTCTTCTAATAGTTTCCGTCAGGCTACACGCTGCAATGCGCAATGCTGCCCTCCACCGTCGTTAACAGATATTAGATTCTCAGATAAAGGCCGGAGCGGCGAAGAAAGTTTAACAGAGCTAAATCTACTAAACTATTATCCGAAGAAAGAATAGCTTTGAGCGAAAAGGTTACAAGTCCCAGGTCCGCTAGCTCCTTGTAGAGCTGCCTCCTCTCACTGCTGTAGGTGCTGCATGACAACAATGTGTGTCTAACGGTTTCTGGCCTGTCACAGTTGCGGAGGACATTGGGGTGCTTCCCGATTTTAAATAAGCACGCAGCCAATCCACAGTGCCATAATCGCAACCTCGTTAAGACTACTCCGTCTCTTCTGCAGCTGGACACACCATTCCTGCTGTTTTGTATTGACGGCTGACAGGCAAAAAAAGTGCCTGCCCCGCCGTTCCCCCTCCCATTCTTTTTGCCATTTATTAACCAGTGTTGCTTACAGACACTGTGGCATTCCTGCTTCGCCAGTGTAACGACAAGGTCTATTTTCTCATTCTGAAGTGCCTTTTTAGCCAGGACAACAGCTTCCTCATTCCCCAAAATACCAGCGTGTCCTGGGATCCAAACAAATAATACTCTCGATCCCGAGTTATCGATACGCTTTAGACAGCATAGAATCTCAAATATTAGATCAGGGCGAGTCTCAGATGACCTGTGACAAAAGGGCAGATGAAGCTGCCGCAGAATCAGAACACACGGCGAGCGGCTCGGACTAACTGCAGCGGCGTCTTCCGGGTGGTGTCTGCCAAAAGCGCTCCGACGGACTTCACCCGGCTTATTTTGGTTCCGGGTGGGAACTTTGAAAAGTGGAAAGTGTGCGGGGGCTTGGTTTATAAAAATGTAGATTCTTATATTCCGAGAAAAATTGTGGTATTTGTATAAATGAATGTTCATGTCTTTAATATGTATTATATGTGAATATTTATCCTAATGCAGGGAGGGGTATTCAACAAAAATTTGAGGAGGTTTCCTCAAGTGGAGGTCCAGGACCTCATAATGTCAGACTTACATTATGATTGTGATACAGAAGTAGCATAGTTTTATTATTGTCTGAAAGTATGAACATCGGACTGTCAAATCAATGAAAATACAAGTGAAAAACATTTCAACAAAATGTATTTTTAACTCTGAAACACACAGTACGTCTACATTATATACAGGGCTGCAGTTTAAAATTAATTACAGAAAATAAATAAATAAAATGGCTGAATTGTGCATTTTAAAACAAAGGGCTTTATTTCAGAAAAAAAAAACAAACAGCAGCAGCTCGAGTTTCCCTTTTTATTTACCTGTCACATCTCGACTTAATAGTCTCAATCAATTTTTCAACAGATCTCAAAACCTCTTTCCTCTGTAAAAATATACTAGCGGGGTGCTGTCTGTATTGACCTGCTGCAGGGAAAAGAATCAGCACAAAAGAATCAGCCATTTGTCTTAAAAAAAGAGTTTAATAAGCCATGGTAACATACTTTATATTGTAAAATGATCAAACCATCATACAGAATGTGTAGTTAAAATAAATTCTTCCAGAGCACCCTCCACAGGACACCACGAGGGACACGGTTGAACACCTCCAGATCCACAAAGCACATGTGGACTGGTTGGACAAACTTCCATGAACCATCGAACACCTGATGGAGAGAGTAGAGCTGGTCCAGTGTTCCACGACCAGGACGAACACCACACTGCTCCTCCTGGATCTGAGGTTCGACTATCGGCCGGATTCTCCTCTCCAGTCCCCTGGAATAGACCTGACCAGGGAGGTTCAGGAGTGTGATTCCCCTGTAGTTGGAACACACCCTCCAATCAGGCTTCTTCATCAGAGGAACCACCTCTGAGCTCAAGTTTGTCCATCTTATTCTTCATTATAAACAGGGAAGAATAAGATGAACAAACTTCTGCTAAAAGGGTATCCTCAGGTTTGACTACACCAAATTTAAGACTTTTTAAGACCATTTTAAAACCATTCAAATGAAAATGAAGACCAATATTGCATCCATTATGCAGGCGAAAAACTCCAGATACAATTCTAATCATGACCAACCAACTACTATATCTAGAATCTAAAAGCCATTGTGGATTAAACCTGTGCTTCCCCATGATCCATCCAACGTCTTCCTCCACTCTACTGATTGTTTACTCATTGCCGCCAGCGCCAGAGACTAAAGTATTGTTTGTGCTTGCTCCAAATTAGACGTTCATTATGTTACATGATTTTACATTGTTCTTTTTTTCATCCCTCTGATGAAGAGCCCGGTTAAGTTTACAAAAAATAAGCTGATGAAATTTAAGACTTTAGTGAAAAAATAAAACTTGGAAAACGTAATTTAACATTTTTTAAGGCCTTAATTTAGGAACATGAAATTTAAGACCTATTTAAGACTTTTAAGACCCCACGGCTACCCGACTTTCTAATAAAAACAATTAAAATCTTGACATGTCATTTTAAGCTTTTATTTTTTGACACTACACAGAGCTCAACTCCACAGTCTGGAGTCTCTGAAGCCCGATTTCCAACTTTTTGAGTCTGACTTTAAGCTCAATTGATCCAGCCTCAGCAGCTTTTTCTCCTTTAGTGTGTTCAAGAGGGTGCAGCTTCAGATGAGCAGGTTTTCTCAAAGTCCTTCCACACTGGTCACAGCTGCAAATTTTCTCTTCAGTCTGGAAGATTTGGACATCTTCCTCACAGACCTGAAAGCCTTCCCCTTTCTTCAGTCGTCTGGTTCGTCTCCTCAGTGTGTGTTCTGTAGTGACTGGAGAGTTGCTGGGATGTTTCAAAAGCCTTTTCACACTGGTCACACTCATATACTATGACCCAGGAGTGAGTTCTCATGTGTGATTTGAGATTGGATGATGTACAGAACCTTTTCCCACAATGGTCACATTCGTATGGCCTCTCTCCAGTGTGGATTCTCATATGTGGTATGAGGTGGCTTGAATCTGAAAATGTCTTTTCACAAACATCACATCTGTACGGTTTTTCCCCAGTGTGGGTTCTCATATGTTTATGGAAATTACCAGATTGTATAAATGTCTTCCCACACTGGTCACATTCAAATGGTTTCTCTCCTGTGTGAGTTCTCATATGTGATATAAGGGTACCTGACTGTGAAAATGTCTTTTCACAAACATCACATTTGTATGGTTTTTCACCAGTGTGAATTCTCATATGTTGACGGAGGACAGAGGGGTGTGTATATTCCTTTCCACACTTTTCACAGCTGTATGGTTTCTCTCCTGTGTGAGTTCTCATATGTTGTTGGAGGCTACCAGACTGTGTAAATTCCTTCTTACAAACATCACAGCTGTATGGTCTTTCTCCTGTGTGAATTCTCTTATGTTGACAGAAGACACTGGAATGTCTAAATTCTTTACAACACAAATCACATCTGTACGGTTTTTCCCCAGTGTGGGTTCTCATATGTTTATGGAAATTACCAGATTGTATAAATGTCTTCCCACACTGGTCACATTCAAATGGTTTCTCTCCTGTGTGAGTTCTCATATGTTGCTGGAGGCTACCAGACTGTGTAAATTTCTTCCCACAAACATCACAGCTGTATGGTTTTTCTCCTGTGTGAGTTCTCTTATGTCGATGGAGGACACTGGAATGTCTAAATTCTTTCCAACACAAATCACATCTGTACGGTTTTTCCCCTGTGTGGGTTCTCATATGTTGACGGAGACTATTAGATAGTGCAAATGCTTTTCCACACTGGTCACATTCAAATGGTTTCTCTCCTGTGTGAGTTCTCATATGTTGTTTGAGGTAACGTGTCTGTGTAAATTCCATCCCACACTGGTCACACCTGTATGGTCTTTCTCCCATGTGGATTCTATAGTGTCTTTTCAGTCTGAAAGCAGTTGGCCACACCTTTCCACACTGGTCACATGGGAACCCCATTCTGTCGGTGGATCTTGTCGCTCTGCATTAGAACAAAGGAAAGGAAGTGTCAAGTAAAATTACTTTTTTAACTGTTCACACTAAATATACATAAAATCACACATTAAATCACATGTAAGAATGTTTCAATGTGTGTTTTACAAGCAAGTTACATTTGACTGAAAGCATCAACTAAGTTTGTATTCTATTTTAAAGTGACACTTTTTCTTTCTGTAGAAAAAGAAAACCAGGGGCTTTGGTTTAACAGTGCAACTTTAATTCTGTAAGGACAGAAAAACAGCTCTGCTGAGTCATCGGGACTGACCGTTCCACATGCACAGCATTAAATTCTATTCCACCATCTATTTATCCATCTATTTACAGGTCTATGTACGAACACGATTTGAATCCTCAGGAAATAAGCAAAAGAGGCTGTTTAAGTTCAGTTGTGTGGAGAGATCTGACTATCCAACAGCCATGATTTAAGTTGATCAGAGAAGGAGGTGAGTAACAGCTCACGTATAGTCACTGGGATGGTGTTCCCAGATTCACCTGGGCGTAGCGCAGAGGGCTTAAGTCTACCTGGTGCCCTAGAGCTCATATGGACTCGTGTAACTTTCAGATTTAAGTGGAAAGTGGGATTAGGAATAGTTTTACAACCAGCTCGTGCATTCGGCTCCAGGACCTTGTATCGAGGACCTGACTGGACCGGGACTTGGACCATGGTTTCATCTCTTCATGTTGGACACTAATGCACTTTTGGAGTCAGAACAGCAGATAGAGGACACACTCTGCTCCTCTGGAGAAAGTTAGAAGCTTATTTTCATCAGTTTTGGGCAAATGTGAAGACAGAGCCACACAAAAGAACGTAAACATCACGTATTACGTAAATACGTTAATACGTAAATGAGCACGTGGGTGCGATGGAGCCGCTCCGGTGTTCTGCCGTGTGTGCAGACAGAACCCACTGAAAATCACTTCATCCTCATCCTTCAGTAATAATATATAAATATATAATATAAATACATAAAAATATCTAAAAGTCTAATGAGCCAACGATTTCGCGACCCCCCGTTGAAGACCTCTGCCTTAAACCAGGGAGCCCCCGCACCAACATGGCGGCTGTATTAACGCATTTCAAGAGTCTGAACGTGAGATTCTAAATGTATGAGTCTTGATACCAAAAAATGATAAATGTGGAGTTAGAACATGGATCTATATTTGTTAAAAGTGTAAAACATAGATCCATGAGTAAAACTTACCGATAGCGGCGGCGTCTTCCGGGTGGTGTCTGCCAAAAGCGCTCCGACGGTCTTCACCTGGCTTATTTTGGTTCCGGGTGGGAACTTTGAAAAGTGGAAAGTGTGCGGGGGCTTGGTTTATAAAAATGTAGATTCTTATTTTCTGAGAAAAATAGCGGGGATTTGTATAATGGAATGTTCATGTTTTTAATGTGTATTATATGTAAATATTTATGCTAATGCAGGGAGGGGTATTCAAATAAAATTTGAGGTTGGAGAAAATCTCAAGTGGAGATCTCGGATCTCATAATGTCAGATTTGCATTGTAATTCTTATACAGAAGTAGCATAGTTTTATCTCTGTCTAAATGTATGAACATCGGATCAACAAAATGTATTTTTAACACTGAAAACCCTGTCTGTATTGACCTGCTGCAGGGAAAAGAATCAGCACAAAATTATCAGCCAGATGTCTTAAAAAAAAGTTTAATAAGCCATGGTAATATATATTTTATATTGTAAAATTATTAAACCATCGTACAGCATATGTAGTTAAAATAAATTCTCCAAGAGCGCCCCCAAAGGACACCACGAGGAACACGGTCGAACACCTTCTCCAGATCCACAAAGCACATGTGGACTGGTTGGACAAACTTCTATGAACCATCGAGCACCTGATGGAGAGTGAAGATCTGGTCCAGTGTTCCACGACCAGGACGAATTCCACACTGCTCCTCCTGGATCCGAGGTTCGACTATCGGCCGGATTCTCCTCTCCAGTCCCCTGGAATAGACCTGACCGAGGAGGTTCAGGAGTGTGATTCCCGTGTCGTTGGAACACACCCTCCAATTGGGCTTCTTTATCAGAGGAACCACCTCTGAGCTCAAGTTTGTCCATCTTATTCTTCATTATAAACAGTGAAGAATAAGATGAACAAACTTCTGCTAAAAGGGTATCCTCAGGTTTGACTACATCAAATTTAAGACTTTTTAAGACCATTTTAAAACCATTCAAATGAAAATTAAGACCAATATTGCACCCATTATGCAGGCAAAAAACTCCAGATCCAATTTTAATAATGACCAACCAACTACTATATCTAGAATCTAAAAGCCACTGTGGATTAAACCTGCACTTCCCCATGATCCATCCAACATCTTCCTCCACTCTACTGATTGTTTACTCATTGCCGCCAGCGCCAGAAACTAAAGTATTATTTGTGCATACTCCAAATTAGATGTTCATTCACATTACATGATTTCACGTTGTTCTTTTTTCGTCCCTTTACTGAAGACCCCGGTTAAGTTTACAAAAAAATAAGCTGATGAAATTTAAGACTTCTGTGAAAAATTAAAACTTGGAAAACATAATTTAAGATTTTTTAAGGCCTTAATTTAGGAACATGAAATTTAAGACCTATTTAAGACTTTTAAGACCCCACGGCTACCCGACTTTCTAATAAAAACAATTAAAATCTTGACATGTCATTTTAAGCTTTTATTTTTTGACACTACACAGAGCTCAACTCCACAGTCTGGAGTCTCTGAAGCCCGATTTCCAACTTTTTGAGTCTGACTTTAAGCTCAATTGATCCAGCCTCAGCAGCTTTTTCTCCTTTAGTGTGTTCAAGAGGGTGCAGCTTCAGATGAGCAGGTTTTCTCAAAGTCCTTCCACACTGGTCACAGCTGCAAATTTTCTCTTCAGTCTGGAAGATTTAGACATGTTCCTCACAGAACTGAAAGCCATCCCCTTTTTCTTCAATCGTCTGGTTCGTCTCCTGTGTGCTTTTTGTAGTGACTGGTGAGTTGCTGGGATGTTTTAAAAGCCTTTTCACACTGGTCACACTCATATACTATGTCCCAGGAGTGAGTTCTCATGTGTGCTTTGAGATTGGTTGATACAGAGAACCTTTGCCCACAATGGTCACACTCGTATGGCCTCTCTCCAGTGTGGACTCTCATATGTGGTATGAGGTGGCTTGAATCTGAAAATGTCTTTTCACAAACATCACATCTGTACGGTTTTTCCCCAGTGTGGGTTCTCATATGTTTATGGAAATGACTAGATTGTATAAATGTCTTCCCACACTGGTCACATTCAAATGGTTTCTCTCCTGTGTGAGTTCTCATATGTGATATAAGGGTACTTGACTGTGAAAATGTCTTTTCACAAACATCACATTTGTATGGTTTTTCCCCAGTGTGAATTCTCATATGTTGACGGAGGACAGAGGGGTGTGTATATTCCTTTCCACACTGTTCACAGCTGTATGGTTTCTCTCCTGTGTGAGTTCTCATATGTTGATGGAGGGTACCAGACTGTGTAAATTCCTTCCCACAAACATCACAGCTGTATGGTTTTTCTCCTGTGTGAGTTCTCTTATGTCGATGGAGGACACTGGAATGTCTAAATTCTTTCCAACACAAATCACATCTATACGGTTTTTCCCCTGTGTGGGTTCTCATATGTTGACGGAGACTATTAGATAGTGGAAACGCTTTTCCACACTGGTCACATTCAAATGGTTTCTCTCCTGTGTGAGTTCTCATATGTTGTTTGAGGTAACGGGTCTGTGTAAATTCCATCCCACACTGGTCACACCTGTATGGTCTTTCTCCCATGTGGATTCTATAGTGTCTTTTCAGTCTGAAAGCAGTTGGCCACACCTTTCCACACTGGTCACATGTGAACTCCATTCTGTCGGTGGATCTTGTCTCTGCATTAGAACAAAGAAAAAAAAGTGTCAAGTAAAATTACTTTTTTAACTGTTCACACTAAATACACATAAAATCACACATAGTAAATCATATGTAAGAATGTTTCAATGTGTGTTTTACAAGCAGGTTACAACTGACTGAAAGCATCAACTAAGTTTGTATTTTATTTTAAAGTCACACTTTTTCTTTCTGTAGCAATAGAAAATCAAATTAAGGAAACATACACAAAGATATTTAACAACTTTGTTTCTCTGAATTCTAATCCACATGTTCAGTGGAAATGACAAATGTAACAAACGTGACGACAGAAGCCAGGGCTTTGGTTTAACAGTGCAACTTTAATTCTGTAAAGGACAGAAAAACAGCTCTGCTGAGTCATCGGGACTGACCGTTCCACATGCACAGCATTAAATTCTATTCCACCATCTATTTACTAGAGCCCGACCAATATATCGGCTGGCCGATACGGGCACCTGGAGACATGTTGGCTATCGCCCGATATGCTTGCTGATATGGGCCGATATTTCACGTGGGCATGTTATACCTCTTTATAAATCTTAGACTCTCTACATTATGTTCATTTAATCCAATTTACAGACAGATAAATGTCTTAATATGTGGCGCCACATCAGTATTTATCTGCGGTGTAATGAGCTGTGAATAGACGTGTGAATGATGAAATTTGCACATATAATTAATTACCGCGGCGCACGTTTTTACGGCTAAAGGCTAATAGCGGTAGTTTATTTACAAGCTAGGAGTTATGGGTCGGTCGCGATCGAAGCGGCTCTTAGATCCGGCTCTTTGAAGGAAACAACGGGAGCATGTTTCTTATTGGGAGCCGTGTTTTCTCTTTTTCTCACTTTTTCTCTTCAAGCCGCTTGTAGACCCGTAGTTTGACAGCAGCAGCGGCTGAAAATGAAACTTTCAGAACTATGCGTGTGCATAGGATAAAAAAAAGTGCATATTTGGCTGCAGTTCAGCATAAAATGAATAAACCAGGACTAATCTTGGGCTCGAGAGACGGATGAGAGATAGAGACCGAGTCCCAACACTCAGTCCTGGTTCAGTTCTGGTTTAGTCCTGTTTTTCACACATGGTTTAAATCTGTTTTAGTCCTGGTTTAGTCCTTTTTCAGTCCTGGTTCAGTTTTGGTTTAGACCTGCTTGCAACAAAACAATCTCAAGAGTCGCTTGGGAGCCGAAAGAGCCAGCTGCTTTAGTGAGCCGAGCCAAAAGGGCCGGTTCTCCATAAAAAAAACTGGAATACCCATCACTAGTAGCTAGAATGTGATGCAAAAATGCCATTAGGCCAATCTACTGTCTGTAAATATGATGTAAAGAGTAGAGCCCGACCAATATATCGGCTGGCCGATATTATCGGCCGATACGGGCACCTGGAGACATGTTGGCTATCGCCCGATATGCTTACTGATATGGGCCGATATTTCACGTGGGCATGTTATACCTCGTTATAAAGCTTAGACTCTCTACATTCTGTTCATTTAATCCAATTTATAGACAGATAAATGTCCTCATATGTGGCTCCGCATCAGTATTTATTTGCGGTGTAATTTGTGTCCATACTGTCCCTGAACACACCCCCAGAGTCACGTCACTTCACTCACGTGTGTTTGTTTACACCCGCAGCTGTGCGCAACACTGAGATTATTTTCTTTTTATGCACAATCGTCTTGAGTCTGGATTAAAAGGACTTTTATTAGTGCAGACTTGTGATGTGAGGAGGAGCCTGTGTGAGCGGTGAGTGTTGGAAATACATCGACTTTGAAGTTAGTTTAGGTTTTGTTAGCGATTAGCTGCTGTAGCTCCTGCACATAAACTGGCTGTTTTCTATTGGCCTATTGTAAAGTGATTATATTGTTCGTATATTTGTTACTGGACCAGCATTGATATGTAAATGAGCTGTGAATAGACGTGTGAATGATCCACATTTATGCATATAATTAATTACCGCGGTGCGCACGTTTTTACGGCTAAAGGCTAATAGCGGTAGTTTATTTACTAGCTAGGAGTTATGGGTCGGTCGCGATCGAAGCGGCTCATAAAGGGCCGTTCACACCAAGGCGTCAAAGCGTCCAGTTTCAATGTAAAGTCTATGTGGACGCGGGACTAGAGCGTCCTGCGTTTTTGCGGCGCGAATCTGGCGTCGACGCGGCGCGTCTTGAGCGTTTTGGCGTCAGCGGCCAAGACGCGCGTCCAAAGCGTCGGCGTCAAGAAGTTGAAAATGATGAACTTTTCGCGTCAGACGCGCCGCGTCAACCAATCAGGGACGAGTATCCAGTGACGCAGCGAAGTTCTTATCAGGAAGCAAGACCCGAGAACCAGAACGAGAACCACAAACATGAACGGAGCATAAATATATACGCCACAATCACCGAGCCGATCGCGAGGACTACACCAGGACCGGACCAGGACTAAACCAGGACTCGACCGGGACTAAACAAGGACTAGACCGGGAGTAGACTGTGATTAGACCAGGACTAGACCGGGACTGATCCAGTGTCATTAGCGGAGTATAATGTTAAACCGTTCCTGTCTCGGTCCTCGGACCGTGGTCAGAGGACACAGGAGAGAACCGTGTTCGTCTCCAGGGCCAAAGGGGCGCAGCAGCCGCTCGTCCCTCGGGGTTTAACTCCCGTGTTCGGAACCTCCAGTGAGTGCGTGGGCTCAATAAACAAGTCAGGTCTTCGCTCAAGACTCGTGGTTTTATTTGCCGTACTGCACTAAATAACATGGCACTTTATCCGGTCGCCTCCTCACCATTCATTTCACACATTGCAAAACCAAAAGCAGACAGACACCCGTAAACTCCGCGGGCCCATTCAAAAGCGCGTGCCTCCGGGGGCGCGCACGCAGTCCCTCACTCACGCTCACGCCACTCACCACTCTAAACATTGCACATAGGAGTACATATATATCTCATAACAATAAATATATATACGCCCCAGTCGTCGACCCGATCTCCTCCGCTGATGTTTTATGTCATAAAAACACTCTATCAGTCTGGTCTGATATTGTTTCGGGAAAAGACCGGGACCGGGCTCTTGTTTCCAGGGCAACGGACGCGCGTCAAGTATTTTGTCAGGTTTGTCCACGGCGTCAAAGACGCGCGTCGGGGGCGTCTAAACTCAAATGCAAACGCGTCCAAATAGAGGCGTCAAGGCGTTTTTTTGACGCTTTCGTGTGAACGCCCCTTTAGAGCCGGCTCTTTGAAGTGAACGATAGGAGCATGTTTCTTATTGGGAGCCGTGTTTTCTCTTTTTCTCACTTTTTCTCTTCATGCCGCATGTAGACCCGTAGTTTGACAGCAGCAGCGGCTGAAAACGAAACTTTCAGAAATATGCGTGTGCATAGGATTTTAAAAAAGGTGCATATTTGGCTGCAGTTCAGCATAAAATGAATAAAGCAGGACTAATCTTGGGCTTGAGAGAGAGATAGAGACCGAGTCCCGACACTCAGTCCTGGTTCAGTTCTGGTTTAGTCCTGTTTTACACATGGTTTAAATCTGTTTTAGTCCTGGTTTAGTCATTTTTCAGTCCTGGTTCAGTTTTGGTTTAGTCCTGCTTGCAACAAAACAATCAAGAGTCGCTTGGGAGCCGAAAGAGCCAGCTGCTTTAGTGAGCCGAGCCAAAAGAGCCGGTTCTCCAAAAAAAAAAAAAATGGAATACCCATCACTAGTAGCTAGAATGTGATGCAAAAATGCCATTAGGCCAATCTACTGTATGTAAATATGATGTAAAGAGTCAGAATAACAATAAATGTTGCCTAAATAAACCCAATTTAGAATCTACTAGAGCCAAACCTAAGTTTTTTAAACAATTCAAGATTTACAGTGAATTTTTACATCACTAAATATATCGGCGATTATATCGGCTATCGGCAGCTCCAACTCCCATTATATCAGTTTCATATCGGCCACAACAAAATCCATATCGGTCGGGCTCTAGTAAAGAGTCAGAATAACAATAAATGTTGCCTAAATAAACCCAATTTAAAATCCACTACAGCCAAACCTAAGTTTTTTAAACAATTCAAGATTTACAGTGAATTTTTACATCACTAAATATATCGGTTATCGGCAGCTCCAACTCCCATTACATCAGTTTCATATCGGCCACAACAAAATCCATATCGGTCGGGCTCTACTATTTACCCATCTATTTACAGGTCTATGAACAAACACCATTTCAATCCTGAGGTGATGAGCAAAAGGGACTGTTTAAGTTCAGTTGTGTGGAGAGATCTGATTATCCAACAGCCATGATGTAATTTTACAACCAGCTCGTGCATTCGGCTCCAGGACCTTGTATCGAGGACCTGACTGGACCGGGACTTGGACCATGGTTTCATCTCTTCATGTTGGACACTAATGCACTTTTGGAGTCAGAACAGCAGATAGAGGACACACTCTGCTCCTCTGGAGAAGGTAAGAGGCTTGTTTTTATCAGTTTTGGGCAAATGTGAGAACAGAGCCTCACAAAAGAACGTAAACATTACGTATTACGTAAATACGTTAATACGTAAATGAGCTCGTGGGTGCGATGGAGCCGCTCCGGTGTTCTGCCGTGTGTGCAGACAGAACGCACTGAAAACCACTTCATCCTCATCCTTCAGAAATAATATATAAATATATATATAATATAAATATATAAAAATATATAAAAGTTTAATGAGCCAAAGATTTCGCGACCCCCCGTTGAAGACCTCTGCCTTAAACCAGGGAGCCCCCGCACCAAGATGGCGGCTGTATTAACGCATTTCAAGAGGCTGAACACGAGATTATAAATCCATGAGTTTTGATGCCAAAAATGGATAAACGTGGAGTTAGAACATGGATCTATATTTGTTAAAAGTGTAAAACATAGATCCATGAGTAAAACTTACCGATGGCGGCGGGCGGCTCGGACCAACTGCGGCGGCGTCTTCCGGGTGGTGTCTGCCAAAAGCGCTCCGACGGACTTCACCTGGCTTATTTTGGTTCCGGGTGGAAACTTTGAAAAGTGGAAAGTGTGCGGGGGCTTGGTTTATAAAACTATAGATTCTTATTTTCTGAGAAAAATTGTAGTATTTCTATAAATGAATGTTCATGTCTTTAATGTGTATTATATGTGAATATTTATCATAATGCAGGGAGGGGTATTCAAATAAAATTTGAGGTTGGAGAAAATCTCAAGTGGAGATCTAGGATCTCATAATGTCAGACTTGCATTGTAATTGTGATACAGAAATAGCATAGTTTTATCACTGTCTGAATGTATGAACATCGGATCAACAAAATGTATTTTTAACACTGAAAACGCTGTCTGTATTGACCTGCTGCAGGGAAAAGAATCAGCACAAAAGAATCAGCCAGATGTCTTAAAAAAAGTTTAATAAGCCATGGTAATATATATTTTATATTGTAAAAATATTAAACCATCGTACAGCATGTGTAGTTAAAATAAATTCTCCAAGAGCGCCCCCACAGGACACCACGAGGAACACGGTCGAACACCTTCTCCAGATCCACAAAGCACATGTGGACTGGTTGGACAAACTTCCATGAACCATCAAGCACCTGATGGAGAGTGAAGAGCTGGTCCAGTGTTCCACGACCAGGACGAATTCCACACTGCTCCTCCTGGATCCGAGGTTCGACTATCGGCCGGATTCTCCTCTCCAGTCCCCTGGAATAGACCTGACCGGGGAGGCTGAGGAGTGTGATTCCCCTGTAGTTGGAACGCACCTTGCAGTCCGTCTTCTTAAACAGAGGGACCACCTCTGAGCTGAAGTTTGTCCATCTTATTCTTCATTATAAACAGTGAAGAATAAGATGGAAAAACATCTGCTAAAACCTCCTTCCAAGGTATCCTCAGGTTTGACTACACCAAATTTAAGACTTTTTTAAAGACCATTTTAAGACCACTTAAATGAAAATGAAGACCAATATTGCACCCATTATGCAGGCAAAAAACTCCAGATCCAATTCTAATAATGACCAAACAACTACTATATCTAGAATCTAAAAGCCACTGTGGATTAAACCTGCACTTCCCTATGATCCATCCAACATCTTCCTCCAATCTGATTGTTTACTCATTGCCACCAGCGCCAGAAATCAAAGTGTTTGCGCATACTCCAAATTAGACGTTCATTCACGTTACATGATTTCACATTGTTGTTTTTTTCGTCCCTTTACTGAAGAGCCCGGTTGAGTAAACCAAAAAACAAGCTAATGAATTTTAAGACCTTTTTTCAGACTTTTAAGACCACACTGCTGCTCTTCTTTCTAATAAAAAAAAATAAAATATTGATATATCATTTTAAGCTTTTTCATTTAGGACACTACACAGTGCTCAGTTCCACAGTCTGGAGTTTCTGAAGCCTGATCTCCAGCTTTTTGAGTCTGACTTTAGGCTCAATTGATCCGGCCTCAGCAGCTCTTTCTCCTTTAGTGTGTTCAGTGCAGCTTTTCTCTTCAGTCTGGAAGATGTGGACATGTTCCTCACAGACCTGAAAGCCTTCCCCTCTTTCTTCATTCGTCTGGTTCATCTCCTGTGTGTGTTCTGTAGTGACTGGAGAGTTGCTGGGATGTTTTAAAAGCCTTTTCACACTGGTCACACTCATATACTATGTCCCAGGAGTGAGTTCTCATGTGTCTATTGAGTCTGAATGATGCAGGAAAAGCTTTCCCACACTGGTCACATTTATATGGCTTCTCTCCAGTGTGGATTGTCATATGTTGAACAAGGGCACTAGATCGTAGAAACGCCTTCCCACACTGGTCACACTTGTAAGGCCTTTCTCCAGTGTGGACTTTCATATGTGATACAAGGCTGCTTGATTGTGAAAATGTCTTTTCACAAACATCACATCTGTATGGTTTTTCCCCTGTGTGGATTCTCATATGTCGACTGAGATTACCAGACTGTACAAACGCCTTCCCACACTGGTCACATTCAAATGTTTTTTCTCCTGTGTGAGTTTTCATATGTTGACGCAGGACACTGATGTCTGTAAAGCCCTTCCCACACCGGTCACAGCTGTATGGTCTTTCTCCTGTGTGAGTTCTGTAGTGTCTTTTCAGTCCAGAAGGATTTTGCCACACCTTACCACACTGGTCACATGGGAACCCCATTCTGTCAGTGGATCTTGTCGCTCTGCATTAGAACAAAGGAAAGGAAGTGTCAAGTAAAATTACTTTAAACTCTTCAAACTAAATACACATAAAATCACACATGGATCATTCCATGCCAAATTTCCAAATGCCCCGCTCGACCATCTCAGATTTGACTGAAAAAATTCTAGGACGTTCACACACTTTCCAATAGGAAAAGTCCCAAATTTTTGCTCTTTACTCCTTATAGTTTTGTCATAAAAAAATATTTTGTCAACTCCCCCCGACGTGTTTTCTGAGGGTCACTTTCAGATTGCTTGCATCTAAACTATTATGCTATTTAAGGCCAGTCCTTCAAATTTTCAAGGGTTAAAATTTGGCAAATGTACTTGAAGAATCTGGACTTTTACATATGTGCTTTTGATTTATCACAAATTTCTGGGGGCTTGAATTTGCTCGAAAATCCTACTCTTCAAATCTGAGGGCATCTTTGAAGGACTGTGGACAGTGCAATTTCAAAGACAGACGTTTGATAGTGAACATACATCTTCCCACTAAGGATGGACATGATTAGTCGACTAAGTGATAATTTCGTCGATTATGTTCATTTCTAATAGACAGACCGAATGTAGGTTTCTGTGCATAGATATGAAGTTGTGTCTGACACAAACACTGGAGTTGCGGCCTCAGTCCACGTTTGGGCTCTGGCACCTCCTTGGAGATCACTATACCCCTCAATGAGTGAGTTTACATGTACATCAGTGTCCCGGTTTCGTCACGGTGCATGTTTACGCAATATCCCGGTTACTGCAGCATAAAGAGCTGCACTAAACCTGTACACGTACAATCTTTGAAAACATCGCGACACACAGAACAGACTCACCGTCAGTATCAACATCCCTCTGTCACAGAAAGAACACTCATATTTCACTGAGTCATGCCCTTTAGTCTGACAAAAGCTTAACCACATCAGCGCCACAGAGTTTTTTATTTTTTTCTCCACTTAGTTTATGCAAATTAGCCATGTGGATTGTAGTTTCGTTTCTGTGAGACTTGAGCAAAGCTGCATTAAACACATTATAATGTCAAACAGGCTGATGTGGATCTATAGTGTTTACGGTTTATATGTTGTAAAGTTGAGTTTATTTACGCAGATTAGTAATTGTAATAATAATGATATAAAAACATTAATGATTAATCGAAAATCGATAGTTAATTCTCCTCACGATCGATTAACAAAATTTCATCGAATGCCCATCCCTACTTCCCACACATGCTGTGTACTTTGTATTTTAAAACGGAGCCTCTCATCATCCAAAAAGAATCACAATCTCCCTCAGTAAATCAGTGCAGAAATCCTTCTGTTTCAGTTCTGTCAGCTACAAAAAAAGTTCCATCAAATACAACACAACTGTCGCAGCGTCCATTATAATGGACATTTATAAACTTGTTATTATCTTAAGGCACAAACATTAAAATATAAAAATAATTGCTAAATTTAATCTTAAAGGCTTAAGAAATAGAAACACATGTGAAAATGTTGTTTTAAAAGGTATAAATAAAGATTATTAGATTTTCTTTTCCTTGCACCATACAATGGGCCATTTTGAATATCGGCCATTTTGGATGGAGAAGAAAAGGCGGTTCCAAAAGTCCCAGCCAAACAAATCACATATCATCAGAAATCCCTGAGCATCTTCTACAAAGAACAATCAAGAATTAAGTCTACCTCAAAACACCTAAAAGATGAACTGGTTAACTAGTGATGTTACGAGATGTGCCGAGGCTTCGAAGTGCGTGTTGAGTAACGAAGGGGGTGTTTCCACCAAGTGTTTATCGAGGCGTGCTTCATTTGGGGGAGGAGTCAAAAATGATGACGTCCGAAGCCTCGCTGCCCGGCTCTACCACGTGACTGCTTCAGGAAGTGTTTCAGATTTCGCCACGAGCTCTTACAGCGATATAAACCCTCAGACTCCACTCAAAATGTGGTTGTTTTTAGGAGAGCTGCGGTCAGTTGAGAGTTTGGATGGAGCTTGGAGAGTTTGGATACAAGAGTTTGGATAGAGTTTATAGTCTCTCCAAGGCCGGAGAGGTTGTGTCAAAAAAAAAAAAAAAAAACTGTTGAGAAACTCGTTTGAATAAAAATAAATAGAATTTCCCCTGTCCTGTACAACATTGTCCAAGTTACATAAGCATAATCTGTGCCCTTTCCTAGTACCACAAGCACTTTCACTGTCCTCTGCCTGATTACACCCTTGCCATTAAAAACAAAAAAACAAAAAACAGCTTCACCTGCCATATTATGATATTACCATCTTGGGAAAATTTACACACACAGAATACTTACAAAATGTATTCACATATGTGATAATATATGTACAAAAATTATTTGGTCAACATTTTTTGTAATTCATAGTCATTCCCAACAGATAAAACAGACACAAAAATTCACTGCATCACACATGTTGAGGTTCAGATCCAGCTGCCTGTGATTACACACTTGGTCAGAATTTGGTTTCGTGTGCACATGAAGCTTTGAGAAATGAACCTTTTCTCGAACCAATTCACACCTCATAAGGGTTCATCTCACCATCACTAAGAACATCTGGACCCACATACGACAACTCATCCAATCCAAAACCAAACACTCGATCAGCCTCCAGGAAAGCGACGTCCTGTTTTACTTCACCAGCCCCTCCATCCCCAAAGATCTTGAACTCTTCATTCACACTCTAAATATGCTGGCAAAATATCACATACACAAAACCAAATGGGCTCAAAATAAACCAAATATTCATCAATATAATAACGAAATCCAACAATACTTTCAGACAATAAAACAGGTCCAAAACAAAAAAGCAATTAAAACTTACAATATCTATAAAAAATATAGTATAGCTTTATTTAATTTTATGATATTCTGTTTTGTTATTCTGTTGTTTATTTAGTTTTGGTTTCATTCCTTCTGCTCCCCTGTATGTGATTTTGCAAACCACCCCCATGTCTCAGTATGTTTATGTGTGTTTATGTGTATGAATGTATATGTATATTTTCCATATCTCACCCCTTCCATAACCAGTGTTGTGGAGTAACAGATTACATGTACCGGAGTTACATAATCAGAGTACAAATTATGAGTAACTGTATTCAGTTACAGTTTCTGTTTCAGTGAGTGGTAATTGGATTACAGTTACTTTGTTGAAATAAATGGATTACATGGTGGTATTTTCCTGTTTTCACATTTTGGGCTATAGCCCCCTTTTATTTTTTTTTCCCCCTCAGTAATTCCATTCATTGCCAGACACTAAACCAGGTCTAAATCAGGACTAATTCAGGTCTAAACTCGGTCCAAACCAGGTCTAAACCAGGTCTAAACCAAGACTAAATAAGGACTAAAACCAGGTTTAAACCAGGTCTAAACTAGGTCTAAACCAAGACTAAATAAGGACTAAACCAGGTCTAAAACAGGATTTAACAGGACTAAATCATGCTGCGCGGACCGTGTCTCCTCCTCTTCTATCAATAATATTTTTAATTTGGTTCAGTAAAGTCTGGGCTTTTTTGTTATCTTTTATCAGACAAAACATCTTATTTTACATGTCCTCGTCTTTGCTTCTCTACACCAAATCAAGTAATCCAAAGTATTCAGATTACATTACTCACTTTAAGTAATTTAATGGATTCCGTTACAAACTACATTTTGGGGTGTATAATCTGTAATCTGTAGGGGAATACATTTTAAAAGTCACCTTCCCAACACTGTCCATAACTGTGAACTGGACTTTGCATTGATGCAACAACAATCCAATCTGCACCTTATATTGTATATACATTGTTTTTTTGTTTTGTTTTTTTGTTTTGTCTTGTTATATATCTGCAATAAAAACAAAATAAATAAATAAATAAATAAAAACAGAGAAAGTCCGGGAAAAAAAATTATGGTTAACACAATGTCCATTATAAAGGACACAAATGAATGGGTCTCAGGAGGATATAACGTAAATATAACGTATTACGCAAATAAATGCAATTAATTGAGCTCGTGGGTGCGATGGAGCCGCTGCGGTGTTCTGCCGTGTGTGCAGACAGAACCCACTGAAAACCACTTCATCCTCATCCTTCAGAAATAATATATAAATATATATATATATATATATATAATATAAATATATAAAAATATCTAAAAGTTTAATGAGCCAAAGATTTCGCGACCCCCGTTGAAGACCTCTGCCTTAAACCAGGGAGCCCCCGCACCAAGATGGCGGCTGTATTAACGCATTTCAAGAGTCTGAACGCGAGATTCTAAATCTATGAGTCTTGATACCAAAAATGGATAAATGTGGAGTTAGAACATGGATCTATATTTGTTAAAAGTGTAAAACATAGATCCATGAGTAAAACCTACCGATGGCGGCGGGCGCCTCGGACCAACTGCGGCGGCGTCTTCCGGGTGGTGTCTGCCAAAAGTGCTCCGACGGACTTCACCCGGCTTATTTTGGTTCCGGGTGGGAACTTTGAAAAGTGGAAAGTGTGCTGGGGGCTTGGTTTATAAAATGTAGATTCTTATTTTCTGAGAAAAATGGCGGGGATTTGTATAATGGAATGTTCATGTTTTTAATTTGTATTATATGTAAATATTTATCCTGATGCAGGGAGGGGTATTCAACTAAAATTTGAGGTTGGAGAAAATCTCAAGTGGAGATCTAGGATCTCATAATGTCAGATTTGCATTATAATTCTGATACAGATGTAGCATAGTTTTATCACTGTCTGAATGTATGAACATCGGATCAACAAAATGTATTTTTAACACTGAAAATGCTGTCTGTATTGACCTTCTGCAGGGAAAAGAATTAGCACGAAAGAATTAACGAGATGTCTTAAAAAAGGTTTATTAAGCCATGGTAACATATATTTTATATTATATAATACATATTATTATGAGGGGGCTTGGTTTATAAAAATGTAGATTCTTATATTCTGAGAAAATGATTAGTGTGTGTTATATGTGAATATGACATGCAGGGAGGGGTATTCAACTAAAATTTGAGGTTACAGAAAATCTCAAGTGGAGATCCAGAACCTCATAATGTCAGACTTGCATTATGATTGTGATACAGAAGTAGCATAGTTTCATTATTGTCTCTATGTGCGAAAATACAAGTTTAAAATATTTCAACAAAACTTATTTTTAACACTGAAACAGACAGTAGGCCTGCATTATATTCAGGGCTGCAGTTTAAAACTAGAGCAGCACTCAGAGAGCGCAGACCTCCGCCAAGGACTACAGTCCCCCTCATATTAATTGTGTTTTCCATAAATATTTGTCTCCTATCTTTCAATTTGGAATATGAAAGAGGATCCGATTGTCCATCCCTGAGTCAAATTTCATGTTGTTTGGTTAAAAATTAATCGAGATATTGAGAAACAAAATTTTTGGCCCCATTTACCACAATGTTAACTCAAATTTCAAAGTGATCCAGAATCCAGGATTTCTTCCGGATCACCCGCAAAATGAAATCAGTTCTTCCTTTTCACATTTCCAACAAATCCTGAAAATTTCATCAAAATCGGTCCATAACTTTTTGAGTTATGTTGCTAACAGACAAACAAACAAACAAACAGATAAACAAACAAACAAACAAACAGACAAACGCCGGCAAAAACATAACCTCCTTGGCGGAGGTAATGAGCTCAGCAGCAGCTTGAGTTTCCTTTTTTCTTCACCTTTCACATCTTTCCTCTGTGAAAAATATACTAGGGGGATGCTGTCTGTATTAACCTGCTGCAGGGAAAAGAATCAGCTTGAAAGAATCAGCCAGATGTCTTTAAAAAAAAGTTTAATAAGCCATGGTAACACACTTTATATTGTAAAATTATGAAACCATCGTACAGCATGTGTAGTTAAAATAAATTCTTGGAAAAATTAGACAAGCTGCTATTAGAAAACTACTTGCCATTTCTGAATCAACAAACTGTATATGAACAGTACATGGGTTAATAGTCAGAGTCATTCAGAGCAGCTTCAAACATGAACAAATGGTCAAAAAAACAGTTTTTATTTTCTAATTCTAATATTTTATGTCACTTTTTTCATCACAGCAGCCATGAAAAAATAAACATCTGTTGTGGGACGCTAACAAGAGTCAAAACAGAATAAGATGACAAAATGCAGTTTCAGGTTTGTCTCTGATTAGGGAACTGCAGTGAAGCAGAACCAAAAGCTCAAAAAACAGTGAAATATCAAACTCACAAAAGGACTAATACAGAAGTAAAATTACAACAATGCAAAAAGGATTAATACAGTAGAATATAAAAAGACACAATGAAAATTATACAAAAATGAGTAATACATTTAAATGGCAAAAACATCATTAAAATAATGATAAAATGACTAATATATGAAAATGCAAATTGAAATTATTCAAAACTATCCAGCTCAATAAAAATGTCAAACTCACAATTAGAATAAAAATGAGCAATACAGCAAAATATGAAAAGTAAAATTAAAATAATGCAAAAATAACGAATAGATCAAAATGTTACAACAAAATTAAAGCAAAAATGGCTTGCAAAATCACAATTGAAATTATTCAGAAATATTTAAAAATAGGCTAAATGAGGTTGTTTCTAAAGAATACTTCACACACGATGTGTTTAAAGATGGATTGTCTAATTTTCTTAAAAATAAAATGTACACACCGCGGAGTTAAATCTGAGCCCTTTACTTGTTGCCTCAGTGTTTAATCCCTGTAAATACTTGTTACCTTTTCGACGTGGAGAAGCAGCAGCTGTACTTCGAGCTCTTCCAGTGTGACTGAGCTCTTCACCCTATCTCTAAGGGAGCGCCCAGCCACCCTGTGGAGGAAACTCATTTGTGCTGCTTGTATCGGCGATCTCGTCCTTTTGGTCATTACCCAGAGCTCATAACCAGAGGTGAGGGGAAGAACGAAGATTGACAGTAAATTGAAAGCTTTGCCTTTTGACTCAGTTCCTCTTCACCAATATGGTCCGATACAGCGACCGCATCACTGCAGACGCAGCGCCTGTCCACCTGTCAATCTCACGCTCCATCCTCCCCTCACTCAAGAACAAAACCCCAAGATACTTGAACTCCTCCACTTGAGGCAGAGACTCTCCACCCACCAGGAGACGAGAAGACACCTTTTTCCAGTAAAGATCCATGGTCTCGGATTTGGAGGAGCTGATCCTCATCCCAGCCGCTTCACACTCTGCAGGTCCTGGTTTGATGAAGCCAAAAGGACAACATCATCTGCAAACAGCAGAGATGAGATCCTGTGGTTCCCAAACCGGCCCCCCTCCGGCCCCTGACTGCGCCTAGAAATTCTGTCCATAAATACAACGAACAGAACCAGTGACAGGGGCAACCCTGGCGGAGTCCAACATGCACCAGGAACAGGTCTGACTTACTGCAGACAACACAGCTCCTGCTCTGGACATACAGGGAATGGACAGCCCTTAGCAAAGGGCCCCAAACCCCATACTCCCAGAGCACCCCCTCCATAGGAGACCATGAGGGACACAGACGAACACCTTCTCCAGATCCACAAAGCACATGTGGACTGGTTGGACAAACTCCCATGAACCCTCGAGCACCCGATGGAGAGTGAAGAGCTGGTCCAGTGTTCCACGGCCAGGACAAAAAGCACACTGCTCCTCCTGGATCTGAGGTTCGACTATCGGCTGGATTCTCCTCTCCAGTACCCTGGAATAGACCTTACCGGGAAGGCTGAGGAGTGTGATTCCCCTGTAATTGGAACACACCCTCCAGTCCCTCTTCTTAAAGGTTGTATGGAGGATTTTTTTTGTTTCAGATTGTCAATGATAGCATTATAGAGATGCAGTAGCCTTGTAATTATGATGACCAAAAAAAGAGAATAAAAATTAATCAACTCTGGACGTGGTGGGGCCAGCTAAACATTTGCCAATAGATAAAGAGACTGCCTCGTTATCTGTTAGCTGATAGGCTGTCAATCAAACTCCTTACATTTCTAGTGTAACTGAATTGCCTGCGCGCTGCTGTTACGTGGTTTACGTACGTCTGTCACACAGTCCACAGATGCTGTTTACTCTACAAATGCAACAGTTCTTAGTGGCTTTTTTGACCTATATCTTCCTCGCAGTTAGCACAAAGTTTGTTGCAATGGCAGACAAGAATCCAGGAGCAGTTAGCCGCAAAAGAAAGTCCGTTTTTGAGATTGCTGAAAGAAGAAGACAAGGGGAAAAGCAGAATTAATTCCAGCGATGGCGCGACTGAAGCAGACGAATGGTCTAAAGACTGACACACTGGTCGCCACACTGATTACAGCTGTATGGCCTCTCTCCTGTGTGAGTTCTCATATGTTGTTTGAGGCTAAAGGTATTGTAAATTCCATCCCACAAATGTCAAGCTGTATGGTCTTTCTCCTGTGTGAGTTCTGTAATGAACTTTCAGTGCAAAACGATTTGGCCACAGCTTCCCACACTGGTCACATTCAAATGGTTTCTCTCCTGTGTGGATTCTCATATGTTGTTTGAGGCTACTGGTCTGTGTAAATTCCTTCCCACACTGGTCACAGCTGTATGGTCTTTCTCCCATCTGAGTTCTGTAGTGTCTTTTCAGTTCGGAAGGAGTTGGCCACACCTTTCCACAGTGGTCACATGGGAACCCCATTCTGTTGCTGGATCTTGTCGCTCTGCATTAGAACAAAGGAAAGGAAGTGTCAAGTAAAATTACTTTTTTAACTGTTCAAAATAAATACACATAAAATCACACATGGGTCATTTCATGCCAAATTTCCGAATGCCCCCACTCGACCATCTCAGATTTGACTGAAAAAAATTCTAGGAGGTTCACTTTCCAAAAGGAAAGGTCCCAAATTTTAGCTCCTAACTCCTTATGGTTTTGTCATTAAAAATATTTTGTCAACTCCCCCCTGACGTGTTTTGCGCAGTTTTCTCTGAGGAGTCACTTTCAAATTGCTGCATCTAAAAAACTATTTAAGGTCGGTCCTTCAAATTTTCAAGGGTTAAAATTTGGCAAATGTACTTGTAGAATATGAACTTTTACACGTGCTGTGAGTTTATCAGATTTCAGGTGGAAATTTGCTCAAAAATTCTACCCTTCAAATCTGAAGGCATGTTTCAAGGACTGTCGAACGTGCAATTTCAAAGACAGAGGTTTGATATTGAACATACACCTTCCCACACAGGCTGTGTACTTTATAGTTTAAAACTGACCCTCTGTGATGAACGCTCTACAAGATATTAAGTGTTAAAAATGGAAAAAAATAAATTTGGTGCCATCTTTATCACGTTATACCAAAAAAATGACAGCACCCACCAACTAGACCATTTTAGACAGACTAGGTATCAGTTTTTATTATATCCCAAAATTGTGATGGTGTTCTGCTTTAGTTTTGGAAAAAGTATTTTTTGAAAATGTGATGTCCGC